CTGATGTGAGATAAACCCGACGCTTGCAGTGTGAACTTCGTGCTGGGGTGTCTCAGACTCAGAACATCGGGGATCTCAACCCCCATCCTGCTCCAGGCTAGAATCAGGCTTCCCAGATTGGGGCCTAAATTTGAGAAATCGTATATTCCTGAGCAGCGTGATGCATTTCAGGAAACAATGAAGCTCCTGGCATACATGCTGGTGTTCATGTGCCTGTTGCGAGCCGTGGCTGGAACGTGCTTGATTTATTCGACTTGTCATGCTCGTCAATTGCAACGTCTGGCAGAGACTGGCAGTCGCGCAGCCTGCGTTTCCAAGCCAAGATTTGTTTGGGTTAGCCCTGCCAGTACTAGATCCCGGCTAGTATTGTACGGGAGGTTTCCAAGCGATGTGGCCTTTGCAGGCTTGAATGGACATTTTGCGGCTTTATCGGCCTGCGAACTCTCCGATAAACCCAGGACTCATCCAATATATGGAGGTCCATCCTCGGGTCGATCTTATTAGCCGGACAGTCATGACAGCTTCTGGCGACATGTTCCACTTCGGTCTCATCTTCCTGCGACTCGTTGGCAACTTGTGGAGATGGTTTGCTCTGTAAAGTATCAGCTGTGAAGCCTTGCCAGGGCATGACGCCGCCCAAGCCAAGTACAGTCCAGTCTTTGGTGTCGAAGCCACCATGTTTTGTGATGAAGGGGGTCAAGCAACGCGCAAAACGAAGCCACCATTTTTTGTGATGAAGGGGGTCAAGCAACGAGCAAAAGTGCGTGTGTGTGTGTGTGTGCGCGTGTGTGTGGTCTCTTTGCGCGTGTGTGTGTGTGTCTATCCGCTCAAATGTCGTCCTAGTCCTGTGCAGTTTCAGGATTTTCTTCGCAATTCTGGCCTGGTTGGCACATTGGTCCTTTGGACCAGACAAGCATCTTGGTGTAGTTCGACAGTCTTGACATGCCAGCTTTGAAGCCCAAAGAGAACGAGGTGCTCACGTCACAAGCTGTCAGGGCTATGTTTTCCACGTTCCGCATCAGCGCCAACACCTGCTTCCAGCGCCTTGGCTGAGATTTTATGTCCTCAGCCTGAGCAGCTGTAGTGTTTGTACTTGAAGCCAGGATGTTGATCGGCGAGTACCCGTTCGAGGACAATGCCACGTGCAAGCTGTAGGAACACTTGCCAAGAAGGACAAATCTGTCCTTTGCTGCTGCGATGTAAGTTTGGACTCGCGCCTGGGATCAGGATGAGTGGACTGAAGGCTGGCTGCAGAAGATCTGGTACATTTTGTCCCTTCGTTTGCAGCCAGAAAGGCATCGGTGCCCATGCTGGCAGTCAAGTTACTCAGCCCAGGTACACCTTCCTGCTATTCTTGGTATCCTTAAATATTCTGCTCGCCATCATCGTCGAGAGCTTTCTCAGGGTCAAGCAGGCTGGCAGCGAGTCTCTCCTGGTTCTCCTTCGCCTGTTTGGCTACTGCTCCTGCTACACAGCAGCATTGGATTTCAATAGTATATCTTAGTCTAAGTACATTTTTCCTGCACCCCGTTTCTGCAACAGCCTCCGCTCTCGCCGCTTTGAAGCAGCTTGTGCTGTGGTGCAGGAGACGGAGGGCAGACTAGAGGTGAAAAGCCTGGTGATGGACGTTTTTGCGCTGCCGGCCACGGCCCTGAACGCTTGTGTGGGTTTGCGCGGTTGATGTTTGCTAGGGTTGCATGTCCCTTCCGTCAGTCCAGCTTTTCTCTGAGTTGAAAGCATTGATGGGCTTCCACCACGGATGGCCGACGACCCGTGCCTTGCACATCCATTTTGAGGCCAGGAATGGAGACGAGGGCTAGGGTTTTTGTCCCTTACAGGTTGTCTCACGGTACATGAAGACTGCGCAAATGCACCGGTTCTTGCAGGTGAAACCTCATTGAAACAAAGAGGCCCTCGAACGTCATCACGTTTTTGCTCGGAATCGCCTGATTTCTGACCGGAAACCCTGGGTCCTTCATTAACGCCTTCAAATCCTCAGTTTCACAGCATCCCTTCCCCAGACTGTATAATCTGCAGGCAACGCGCTTGTGGAAGGAACCGGTGACGGCAAAGGCCAGCTGTTCCAGCCCCGCTGTGAAATTTGGTAAGGCCATCGGCTAGTTTTGCTCCTGGCGCTCGTAAGCAAAGGATGCGGGCTCTCCAAGAAACCGAGGATGGAACGCTTGTGCCCCCCGTGTGTGCATGGACCAGGTCACAGACCTTCAGTTGCGAAGCTGATTGTATTCAGAATGCACATTTTGCACATCATGAGCGTGCATGTTGGTGGCCCTAGCAGTTTCAGTGTTATGGTCTTTCCTCCAAAAAGAAAGTCTGTCTAATCATGCCAAATAGGATGCACAAGACTTTGTTGCATGCAGGTGGGAAGGGTGTGTGGACATGTCGGTGCTAGCAGGCACAGGAGTTGACAAGGAATATTCCTCGAGACTCTGGTGCCAGGAATTGGCAAGGTCACAGCATGCCTACTTCCGGGACAAGGACGCTGGTTGTCCTGTTGCGGCATCTCCGCACGAACCACTTTCAACGATGTCGCCGTGTGGTATGGTGTCTTGCCGGAGGAGTCCGCAGCCGAATTCTTGCGGTACAACCACTGGACTCTTGGCTGCACTCGGAGAGGATGAGAGACACACGTCCCATCTAGGTGACACATCCAGAATTTCTTGACTGGCTCAGGCTCTTGGGATACAATGTCCTTGATGAAAGAGGGCGCCAGTATGAGGATCGTGCTCCGGGTTGTCGCGCAGATGTAACATTGACGTGTTCTTTTCACACGGATTCTTCGCTGTAGGACTACAAGAAGTTCCTTTGCGAGTTTATCAGTGGAGTCGGAGGCTGAGTTGTTTGTGTGGCTTGGCCTTGAAGGGCAAGCGCACTAATTCAGAGATGCCTTGCCGCACCTGCACTGCAGGCTGGAAGGTGCTCATCCCTCGACTTTGACATGCAAAGCCTCCAGCGACAAATCCTCAAGATTCAGCACTCCGGCCCAAATGGGAGAATGATACTCAGAGGATCCCCAGCCCCAAGCGGCCCAAGCGGCCCGAGCGGCCCGAGCCTCAAGCACCGAAAAAAAGCCGTCTGTATGCGGCCAAGGGCTGCCATCCGTCGCTTCCTTGCCGCGAAGCGGATGGAGAAGAGAAGAAGGTTTGGCCGGGACGGGCCGGGAGGGCGGGTGCTTCGGTTGCCCCGTTGGAGGAGTACTGGGGTGGAGGGTGAACGAAGATTCGACTCCTCTTCGGTTGGTCTGTTCAAGGAGTTCTTGGGGGATTTTTGTTGCACCATGACACGCCGAACCCGTCCGCAAGGCAGAAAATGCGCAGTTTGGATCAACGCCCAGTGGTGGCGTTCCATGGCTGCAGCTCGCAGCTCGTACTGCGTCTACCTGTTGCTAAAAGTGTCGAATCCTAACTTCTCTGATCCCGCCTGTGGCTGCACAAGGAAGGGAGTGACCTCAGCTCAGCAGGACTGCTCGAAGGGCAAGGGCTTGTTTCATGGCAGAAGAGAAAACATGGGATGCTAGGATGTTCGGAGGCTGCTTGTTTCGCCCGCCAGGACCTAACCGATGCTCCGGCCAGCGTCGTTCGCGACTTTGGACAGCGGCCACTTGGCGAGGGAGTGAGAAGAGCCCCACATACTCGGACGCTCTTCTGTCTTTGTTTCTCCTCCCTCCCTCCGTGCCCTGCTCCTCCCACCTACTCATCCCTCTCTCTGACTCTCCTTCTGGCTCTCTCCCTCTCGCTGTCCCTCTCCCCCTTCGGCCCCTTCCCCCTTCCCCCTCCCTATCTCGCTCTGCCTCTCGCTTCCCCCTCGCTTTCTCGTCAAGCCCCTCTACCGATGTACAGAGGCCCTCTTGGGCCCTCATCTAGACATTCCGCTTTCAGTACGCAGCATGCACTGGATGAGACCAACATGTCGGAGGAATGCGAAACAGGAACTCAGGATGGCCTCACATTCGACAAGACTTCACCGAGACCGGCATGTAAAAAGGGAGACAGGGTCCCAGTCTTGGCGCTGCTTTTGCGAGGTTGGGTCTGAAGCCTCTGATGGTGGCAGCCTGTCTCAATGATTCCAAAAGACACAATGGCCCAAGCAACATGCCCCAATCTTTCATTTGTGCAGAAGATTTGGGCCTAGCAGCAGCAGAAAATTCCCTGTGCCGAGTCTTGTGCTTTTTGTGCCCAGGAAGCTTTGCTGCTCATGCGCACGGAAAACGTCACAGCGTCAGGCGTCAGACTCAGCAATCTTGCAGTTCCTTTGAAGTCATGTTTGTTCAGGTACCTCGGACATCCCGTGCCTTGAGAAAGAAACTCCTCCCAACAGCCAACGTTAACCAGATGCCCGTAAAATCGAAAAACAGTCCGTGTCAACTCACCAAGTGAGGCTTACTCCAACCCCAAGCAATGGATACGGCAGCGTTCGGGTTCTCACCATACGCCAGTGGCTGTATTGTGACAAGCGTGACCTTTGTGATTGTGTGATGCGATGTCGCCATCAGTGCTAACGGCCTGCTATAGTCTCTTCCGTTTTCCTGCGTAAGACTTGGCTGTTGCTGAGATGCAATAAACCCATCCCTTTGCTGGCACATCCCAAATTTTAGACGTGAGCGCCTTAGCCTTGAGATGCCTTGAGCACCTCAAGCGGTGGCAGGCACGGACACCGAGGAGAATACGTGGACTGGTTCGGAGAGTGCTGCTCCAAGTGAATCTGAAAATCTGGAGCTTCCTTGGTTTGTGTGATGAATCGCAGCGGTCCAGCCAGAGCACCTGCTTTCACCTGCGTAATCAGTTTCCACGATGGTTGTGGTGGTGGTTGTTACCGTGCAACAGCACAAGCCGGCCCTAGACTGAGGCTTAGCTTCTGCCGAAGATGACGGTTCCTCGAAGGATCGCTCCTCAGGGAGGCAGGGCAAACATGTAAACTATGACCATACCAGCGGCACACTTATTCGGCAGGTGTGGAAAGGAAAGCCATGAACGGTTTTCCATTACCGCAACATGACTCTGCACTTGCAGTGTCATCCGTCGGTGCAGAACACCGATGTTACGCAGCCTGCTTGTACCCAGAAATATATGAGTCCGCATCATGAAGCATTCGGAAGCATTTGATATTCCCGCAGGCCTTCGACGGAAAAGGCCTTGACTCTCTTCGTCTGAAGTCCGTGCTGGAGAGCAGCGGTTGCACCTTGGAGCCTGTCAAGATGTCGCAGGGCTTCACTTTAAACCTGGAAGTGTAGCATGCAACCGAGAGAGCCCATGAAGTCCAGCACAAGAAAGAGACTGGGCAGAGGCAATTTGTTTCCTTGCCAGACTCAGTCTGGAGATGTGTGGTTCATCCACCCAGCTGGCTGATACGCAGCCTCGCGTTTTAGTCAAGGTTACTGACCTTACTACATAACATGTTCCAAATTCACATGCTGTATTGATGCTTGCTGACACCACCTATTTGTGCTGCTATCGTCCGCGATGCTGCTGCGTTCGGCAGCCTGTGTTGTACGGTCCAGTACCACCCGCTTCGTGGACGAGCCTGTGCACTGTTGCACATGCAGTTATCATGCATTACTGGGATTCCAGGCAGCCTGTAGCAACCTTTAAGTTTCGACAGTTTTCGCAACGCGCACACGCTTTAGCCAGGAGCTTCAGAGATGAATTTGAGCTTCCCTGGCGATGTAAAAAATGTCACAGCGGTAGTTTTTCCTGTGATCGCGACACGTGGTCGCAAAACACCACCGTTGCACGAAGGATCTGCAAGCGTGCGCTTCGGCATTTGCGCCTGTCTGTGAAAGTCGAAGACAGCTTCGCTTGCAGCATTTGGTGAGTCAGTATGCCTCGCATCGCAGTCTAGGCAGATGCTGGCACGGTTCAGTGCAATCTCAAAGATGCCGGTGTGAGTGTTCCAGTAGCATGCTTTGGTTGTCGTGCTTCGCAGTGATGAAATGGCAACATACACTTCGGGATGGGATGTTGTTCCGGAGACTGTTTTTCTAGAGCTGTGCTACATGCAAGTCTGCTGCGGGCAGCTGATAGGAGCGTCGGACAGCGTAGGAGGTTCCAGCATGCAAACGCAAGGCTGGTGATCGTTCAGCGCCTTTCCTGGCTCGACCGACTTTTCTTGAACCGAGCTGAAGATGCTGTTTCTTAGAGGTATCGGAAATGATTTCCTTTGAGGAAGAGACAGGAAGCCAATTCGCTAGGAAGGCACCCCGGCACGCAAGGTGCAGCGGACACCTTTGGGGAATCCAAGCGGCACCCGAAGTCATGATCGGAATGGGATGCAGAATGTTGAGCATCTTGCAAGCATCCCCTCTGCGTCATGTCTTCAGCGGCATAGCCTCAGTGATGCAAGCCGCAAGTCGATTCGACCAACATCGAACACAAAGCATGTTTCTCGAGCGTGAGGCCGTGGTGTTGTGTGGCCCATAACCTGCTCGGTTTTCTTCCATGTTTGAAGTCCTTCTCGGAGGTCAAGAGGCATATTCACGTGTTGTGCAACCGATGCTCCTCACAGGTATAGGGCTAGATGTATGTTGCAAACAGAGTCGGATGCGTTTATGGTTCTCTAGTGATGAACCTTGGAAGGGAAGGTCCTCAGCAAAAGGCGAGTCATTGTTGACGTAGGTTATAGGGCCGTCTGCAAAGGACTGGCCACTCCGGGGGTTGGTGCTGCATAGCAGCATAGCAGTTATCACCTCTCGCCGAGGTCTTGTTTAGCTGGCATCGTGAGCCGGATTTGTCCGTCCTCTTCGTGAAAGGTGGGCTGCTTGTTCAGCTTTGTGGCGACATGTTGTGATCCAGTCTTCAGAGAGGACCTAGAACAATTAGGCTGCCTGGGGTTCAGGAGGCCTGACGATTCATGGGGTTCCGAATCGCTGAGCAAAGCAGCATCCTTTTGGAGGATAAGTCGGTGCATGTTCGCAGTCGCACTTGAAGCTCTGTCTCGACACGCTGCAGGGCTGCCCTTAAATGCCTCAAAATGCTACACCGTCACTGTTTGTCAGGTCCCGATCCTTGTATCATGCACAGGACCTGAAGTCTGAAACATAGCAACAGGAATAGCACAAACTCAAAGCACAGCACATTCGGGCAGGTCGCAGCTGTGCACCGTCCGGAGATGGAAACAGCTGCAAGTTCATCTGAGAGGAGTGGCCAGAACTTCGTGCGGAACTCGGCACAAGACAGGGCATTGGACAGGTCCCATTATGCCCACAACTACACCAGGGGTATTGAGCGAGGTCTTCGCCACGCAAGGCCTAGCTGAGCTTGAATCAGTGGTTGGCCCACTTCCATGAGGCCCGACCGCACGTGGTTTGCCGTTTGCTTAGCTAACGCCGGCCGTCACAGGCCAGGTGCATGGTCAGAAGCTCCATTGTTCCACAGCTTGTATTCTACTGTGGCCGCGCTCACAGGCTTTCACTCGATGCTTGCAGCACGCTGTGAAGGACAGGCCCAATATGGAGCCCGTTACGCGTCAACTCAGATATCGGCGGCCAATAGCCGAGATGTGCACATCGGAAGCACCAAAATGAATGCCATGAATCCGGGGGCCTAATTGGTGCAAGTGCCGTGAGTCAGATTCGCTCCCGGAAGTGTGTGGCATCAGAACCTCTTCAAATTACAGGTACCTGCGAACCCTTGGCCGAACCTTCCTGTTTGGCTTTCGACCGCTGCAAAGAGAAAGACTTTCAAGGAGAGAAGTGTGAGAAACTTGTCACCTGTGAGAATCTGTCTATGGCGATGCTCGGTAAGGCGTTGCAATAGAACTTTGACACCCCAGCACACTTTGGGCACACAGCTGCCTCGGCATTGAAGCTGTCCACGAAGTTCGAGTCGCAATCTTCTCCACGCTGCGCGACTGGCAAATGAAACGAAAGCCGACCTTGGATAGGCCATGCGAGGCCCTCAAGCGACTGCAGCAGCAGTCTGGTTCTTTGCGTGTACCTAAAATAGACTCTGCGAGTGGGGGGGGGAGGATAACCCGCACTTCGTGCGGACATGTTTTGCGATCATGAGATCTGCAGAGGATGAGTCCTCGAAGCCTTTGTCGCCACATTTTCCTCGGATGTCCTTCAAGATGCTACTTGATGCCTTGCTTCCAGATAGCTCTCGTAACCGCCTTGCAGTTAATGCCTTTTTCCGGGAAAGGCTGCTTCAACATCCGGTCTATCCCATCCTTGCGGATGGCTCTAGGGGCCTCCCGATAGAAGCGGATCCGCAGCGGTACGAAGATCAGACGGCCGATCTTGCAGAGGTGTTCAGCAGTCTTCCTCACTGTAGCTTGAGACTCGTCGTCTTCCTAGGCGACGAGAAAGGTTGTAAGAGAGACTATGCTGTGTAAGTTTGTGTGATTGGGAAGGAAACCTTTCTGTATCCTTTTGCGATGATGTCGACCTGCTTTCAGGTTTACTGTGATGTTGGGGGGGGGGTAGCTGGGATCTTCCCTCGTAGCCGGCATCTATGCAGCCTCAGTGGAGAGCCGTGTCACACAGATTGGGCTTGCCATTAAGCGGTCGTCACTGCGTGGTCTCTTCGATTCTTGTCGGACCGGTCGTGTTACCACGGGTCTTCGAGAAAGTAAACTGTGTGAGGGAACGGTTTGGATCTGTTGCTTCGTCAGTGAACACTCGAAGTCAATGTTCAATCGGAAGCTCCAAGATTGCTCTATGGGCCTTGGTTCAAGTGCCGTGGCGTGTGCTCGGACTGGTGTTTTTATTGACCTCCGCAGGGGCCCCAGCTGTTCATGTTCTGAGACATGTAGACCCGCCAGTGTTTCGATTGTCGTGCCTTCGCAGTCCATGCCATGTCCTGCTGCATCATGTTATTGTTCAGCAAGAGCATGAACGAGATTTCATTGATCACAAGTCGATCTCCCGTGGGGCGTTCTCAGAATATGGGAAGATGATAACTTTGGCGGTTGTGGAACTGTCGCTGCAGGGATGCTCCTTTTTTGTGCACGATTGCTGTTCTTAGGCCATGGCTCTCCGCCGACTGCTACCACGACTGCCCGCAGCGCGCGCGGCGCTGAACTCGGCGGCGAGGCACCCTGCGGTGGAGGTTTTCCGAAGCCTGCAGCTCTTCGGAGACTCGAGAGATGCCCAGCACGGAGGAAACCTGTAACCTAGCAGACCTAGGACCTAGCAATTGTCACCACATGCTCTGATCAAAATCATGCCTCCTTTCTACCTGAAGTTCTCAAGCCCTTGCAAAAAGGTTGACTCTCAGCCCTACTTGTTCTGCATTCCCCTTGCGCTGCAGTCCAGCTTCAATCCCGCTATCCTCAACCCCCTGCGTTCTGGAGCTTCAGGTCGCTGCATGCCTCGGCTCCAAGGCGACTTGAGATCATAAGGGCACCTTTGTAGGCTGCTGTGCGTGGCCGGGGTGCAGATATTTAGGAAGAAGGCCTGTTCAAAGCATCAGCTTGCTCTTTCTCGTGTCTTTCTTCAATCTTTCATCCGGGTTACACTGTGACACGAACAAGTCATCCCTGGCCCGCCAGGCCCGCTGGGCCTGCAATGCACCTGTAGCATCAGAGCATCCAGTGACTTCTTCTGGAGAGGAATGCTGCCAAAGTGAGCCCAGCAGAGCTCACCAAGATCCTTAGCGAGCGCATTGCCAACTTCAAGGACCCGTGGCAGGTGCATATGGACGGTTTGGAGACATGGAGCGTTCAGCTGACTCGGCCCGTTCGCAGGATCAGGCTGATGTGCAAGAAGTTGGCCGCGTCCTCTCAGTTGGGGATGGGATTGCACGCATCTACGGCCTCAAGGGCGTGAAGGCAAGCTTGTAGTTCAGATCACTAGCGCAAGCTTGGAGGAATGAGGGGATGTAGGAGTAGGACTTTGGCTTTGTTTTTTTTTGTTTCCATGTCAGGGTCTAGAAACCAGAGTCGAGGATTCAAGGCTTGGATGGTAGAGTTAAAGTTAATCATCTCGTTGTCAAGTTCTGAAACATGGTGGCCGACAGGAGACGGCATCCGAAGTTCTTGAATGCTGTATGATGTTAGGATACGCTCGTTGAGTCAACTGCTCCGGCACTCTTTGCATGGCCAATTTCCAGTGGGACAGGCTTCCCTAGGCAGAGACAGCAAAGTATCAGAATTTGACTCAGAGTTCCACAACTTACGCATTTGCGAAGTTGTACCGCGCAGGCAGGCGAAATGGTTGAGTTCTCGAGCGGCCTAAAGGGCATGGCGCTGAACTTGGACCCTTAGCATGCAGCAAAGACTCACATATGACATCTGACATACTTAGGCCCGAAGACCTGTTTCAGGTTTGTTTTTTCTTTCTTGCGATAAGGATTGTCGGTAAACAACGGCGCTTTGTGACGATCCCAAGGGGTACGTGCTTATCAGACACAAATTCGCCAAGTAGACTCACCAAGATACTCTTCCATTTGTGCATCGTTCTTCTTCAATCCAATGCTGTTTTATAGAAGTGGCTATTCAACTAGGGGTGTTGGAACGGAAACTAGAGGGGCTTCGATAGGTAGAGGGAAAGCAAGGAGGGACGGACAGAAGGACAGAGGGACGGAAGAAAATGGAGGGGAGACTCCAAGCAGCAACCCCTTACCAAGCGTGCAGACGCGCCGACTCTGCTACTTGTGCGACAACAATTATGTATTTCAACGGAAGGGCCAAGCCCCTGGTTCCTCTGCCTCTGTGAGTTACGGCCAGGTCTTGATGTTGCTTCCCAAACACTTGCACCACCGAACGCCGAGCACCCGCAAAGTGGCTTCATGCCTTGCACTTCTGGCTCGCTGCCTGCTGTCCCAGGCCTTGAGGTATTCCTGCCCGCTTTTCCGACCAACGGCTTGCAGTCGCGATTTCTTTCTGTCAGGTCTGTCTGGGATCATCCGTGTCAGAAATAGTGGGGCGTGTGGCAAGACTCAGTCACGATGCTAGATGGGTTGCGGAGGAAAGACAGACTGTTCATGACGAGAAGAACAGCCTGCTGCCTTTAAGCGAGATTCGTGCTGATTTCGCATTTACCATTTGGGGGCATACATTGTGTAGGCCCATTGGGAGTCATGGTGGGCGTGAAATCTCCAAAGGCTTGGAGCAGGATTACGACTGCAGGATTTTTTTTGGGACCAGGTATGACAAGGTTTCTTCACACGACCGAAGAACTTCCACTTGAAGGGGGGGAGATTTCCTCCATGTACATATATACACATAATAAGTACACACATGACATATGCATGGATGTATACAGAAGAGGACCTCAATTCGCGGCGAGCATACATTTCTGCAGCAAGACTTCAATAATGTTCCACCCCTCGTTCAGATGCTACGCAAGACCTCTGCATGGCTTCAATCTGTTGCCCATCAAGCCGGCAGCCTGTCGATCAAGCAATTTCTGATGCAGTGCATCCAAGGAAACCGACAACGTCGGAGTGGTGGTTTTCGGCGATGACCGAGCCATTGTCGAAGGCTTCTTGGCCACATGCGACTACTGGAGTACCATGTTTGTGGAAGAACCTCGCGGTTGGGCGACAACTCGAGAACCTGCACGGCAGGTGACAGTGTCAAGTGCACCGGAACCATTGTGGATGTTCCGATCGGCGAGGAACTGCCGGCACCTTTGTGGGCGGAATACAGCAGTTTCTCTCACAGGGTAGCTCCCTTCTTCCCGAAAGACTTCGCCTGGAGCTCCAAGGCTGGGCCGCGTTGTGGATGCTCTTGGCACGCCCATTGATGGCGCCGGGCCCATCCAGACAAAGAGCCGCCGCCGAGTGGAGCTCAAGGTCCGACGACGCTACGTCGTCCTGAAGTCCATGCGAGCGAGCTTCGCTTTGTCTTTTGTAGAGAGTTGATGAGTCTGGGGAGAACTTAATGCAACGGTAGCGTGCCAATGCGCAGGCTCCCGGCATCATTCCCCGGCAAAGCGTGCACGAGCCCATGACAGACGGGGTGCAAATTCTTGCATTGCATGCACGCGGCTTGCAAGCCTCGCAAGAACGAGCGGCCCGCGCCGCACTGAGAAGTGTGGGAAACTAAGTAGCCCTGGGCAGGACCACCGGCCTGAAAGCTGTCGACAGCCTGATCCCAATCGGCCGTGGCCAGCGAGAGCTGATCATCGGTGATCGCCAGACTGGCAAGACCGCGATTGCCATCGACACAATCCTCAACCAGAAGGCCCACA